CATTTTTTCCTTGGTCAAGAACCCAGAATTATTATACAACTATTAAACTATGCCAAACGTTGGTAATCATATAATCAAAAAATCCACCACCATTATTGCCTTACTATCTCCCAAACATCAAACCATGCCAATTTCAGAGAGGAAAACCTAAATTTCGTGAATCAATATGTATGAATTAACAGCTTTAATACTATCACCCAAAAATGCAACTTTCATGAACAGTTCAATTTTCAGGTCTCAATTGATCACCGACGATGATGCTTAAGCAGTTAATTATCCCTAATTATAGTCTTTTGGTCAAACCACCCATATTTCACCAGTCCCAAGCTTTTCTTTACCCTCTGGTAATTGAACATAGCTATTGAACATGGCCCATTTATAGTTGACCTCTTAAAAATGGTGATTTTCGCTATGCAAACGTTTACCAGAGGGTATTCACCAATATTCACCAACATATTTCACCTTCCAGGATCTGCCAAGCTTCCAGGGCTCCAACAGCTTCTCCGCGTCCCAAAACGTGGCCTTCGCCGCCTCCACGGCGACCCGGAAGGCCTCGAAGCTCACGACGTGGGGCCGCCAGCCGCGCAGCGCCAGCTGACGCGCCAGCGGCAGCGCCGGGGAGAGGTGACCCACGGCGTTGGGGAAGACGAAGACGGCAACGCGGGACATGGGGGAGATTTAGTGGGGGGGAAAACACTGGGGAAATGGTGGTTGAGGTTTGTTCGGGTTATTGTAGATTAGATAATTCTGGATGATTGTTGGTTTAGTTATCCATTTTTGGTAGCTCTTTATTTAGCTATGTTTAGCGTTATTGTATTTGCATTTTCGAGTTAAAATTGAGAGAAAAAAACACACATTTTCCACCTAGGTTTAGCCAACCAATTCTTCCAATTCTGCCAATTCCTAAAGCTCAAGCCTGAGCAGCTTCGAATAGCTCTGGCTGAGAACTGCTTTCAACTTTCAGCGGAAGCCATGGAGCTGGTGGACTTTCTTGCTGCTAATTCTAAACATCTTAAAACTATATTAGTCCTGCAGGATCGTCATCTCTTTCATCATAAAGGCAAGGGGATAAACATCTTGAAACTATGGTGATATGTTTGATACTGCCCGTTCTATCCCACCTTTGTCGGTTGAATCACCAACTTCTAGCATGAGTTAAGTCATATATATATATAATTATATATATAAGTCTAATTTGAATCGGACTTCTTTCTTTCTGTGATCTATTTGGTCAAACACGTTTGTTTTTTCCGCCAATTCCCGGCGCCGAGCTGCAAAGTATTCACCAGATCGAAAACGCCTTCGGAAACGAAGCCTTCCCTCTCAGCCTGGCTCGGAAACCCCATGGCGTTGTGTGGTACAAAACCGACACTAAATGGCTTTTCAACAATTGGAAAGCATTGGTAGAGGATCAATAATTGACAAAATAAAGTGCCTTAAAATCCCTGAAATAAGTGCCATCGGTCCAATGTATATTTCTTGAATCAAGCCATATCCAACCGTGAAGCCATCGATCTTTCGAAACCCATTGTTTTTTCCTCATTACCCTCTGGTCTGACTTGGAAACGGATACAGTATTCGGGTGGATCAGATATTGCAATGCCCAAAAGAACGCAACTGCATCTTATCATGATTATGTGCCTGATTCCAATGTTGTTTGGTTGGAAATGGCATGAGTGCCACTGGCTACATGCATACATACATACAGAATCATGAATACATAAATACTGTATATGTATACTGTGTACTCAAGTATATAAATGCCCGATTCTCAGTGGAAAGCCATATTATCTCTCCGAACGTCATGGGGATGTACCTATCATGATCCGTGATGTGGAAACATAATGATTACACATGGATTTGAAGTCCTTAATAAATTCGGAAGACATAATCCTTATATGTGCCATCGTCCAAACATGGTATGGTTTATGAACATCCGTATTGATGACCATCGCCCAAGAACGGGGTACGTGATCCAGTTTCTGAACGAAATTGGTGTTCTAATGGGTATACATACACACATACAACAATATATATATATATAATATAAATATATATATATATATGTATATGTATATATATCCATTACATATCAAATTAAAAACCCTATTTGGGCACAAGTTGGATAGGTGGTTTCGGAAGTGGTTCATTCCATCACCGAGGCCTCCAAATCCTTCAAGCGTTGCCAGCACTCACCCAGTGCTGAGCGTAGAGCCTTGGGCAGGAAATCCACTTTGGACATGAGGGAAATCCATGGAAATCCACGAGTTGTAGATGGTTTTCCTAAGGAAACCTGGGTTTTCCACATCTATATGTTCTGGTTGGTGGTATACCCACCCCTCTGAAAAATATGAGTTCGTCAGTTGGGATGATGAAATTCCCAATATATGGAAACATAATCTAAATGTTCCAAACCACCAACCAATGTTACTTTAGAGTAGGAGTAATTAACGGTGAACTACAGCTCCACAAGGTGGGATATGGGCCCCAACTTGACGATGCGCAGGTTAAAGGGAAAATCGCCATGTTCATCGGGGATTAACTAACCATCTTGGCGAGGTAATGGAATATCATGCGATATACTGGGATAATCCATGTAAGTATACAGTATACTGGACTACAATGGTTTATAAATTATACAATATACTGGACTATGGACCCGAGATTCGATATAATGGTTTACCCTGGACTATAATGTTGATGTCAATATCATATCTAGGGATTAAATTCGACTATGGACTATAATGGTTTACCCTAGATATTCACATAAACATTTCTCGGCATATGACTTGCTCAAAACGTAAGACATTGGCCAATTGTGGGGGCTAGAGATGTCTAGTGGGATGATTCTAAAGCCAACCACGAGCAAACCATGATCAAATTATTTGGGTGTACCTGAAAAAAAGGAGATTTATGTACCAAAAAAAAAGGCCAACTCAAAAAAGGGGCCATGTGGGAAACCCAATGCCACATAAACTTAGCTTCAATCCCACCCATCAAAATTCTGATGGGAATGATTTTGGGGATGGTTTGTGGCATTGAGTTTACCGGGTTTACCACCATTGGTGATTTTCAAAAGCCTTGGAAGATCTTGGAAGGCCAAGGGCTTGTTTATTTTTGGGTGGGCTCAAGCAGCAGAACTTGTCGCGGGACAAGCCGCTTGGATCTCTTTGGTACACTCAAAATGACTGATTTGATGAAACATGATACAATCCTGATGAAGAAAAGCAAGACACATTTATATATATATATAATTATATATATATATATTCAGTGCAATGGCTGCAAACTCATGGCTGCCACTGTTGTATGGAGGTATCGTCCTAGATGCCTCGAACATAATTTTCCAAAGTCTACAGAAAAAGGTAACCACGGATCATTCATTCGCAAGCTCATGGCTGACGGAAATCTGTAGCGACATATCCTCCATGTTCAAGAAACACGGAAAAAGTCACCTATGACCTATATGTATATATAACTATGAACTATATAGTTCAGATTTACCCCAGTACCTCATCGCTGCTCCTCACTCTGCTATTCCGAGGTAGTTTTTTTCTTTCCCTCCTCTCACGACACAAAATTCGACCCTGGAGTTGGGCCTCATTCTCGGCAAAGACATCCGTGGAGGAATTCTCTGAGATGTCCTGATGACCAAGTCCGTTGGGCCATCAACCACCCACCCAGGACATGGGGCAACTGTATGCTATAACGATAAATGCCAATCAAAAACCAGATTCTGAATGGTGTATCGTTGGGTCTTCCGAAAATTGTACCATTAGCTATACGTCATAATGTTGTAAAAAAAAAGGACATCAACAATAATGTATGCTAATTTACCATACATTAATTCGTATTAATTCCGAATGATACCGTTCACATCCGTTAACCACAGCGAGTTCTGCAAAGCCATTCTTCTTTAAAGGCTGTTCCGTCTCCCTTGGCACAGGGCCACGGCAGGTTTCACACGGTTTCAAGACACCTCCTGAAACGATGTTCCGTCGGGACTTCGCCTCACTCATGAGTTGCCAAGAGAAAAATGGTGGATTCTCCATAGCCATGTGAAATATGTTAAATGGTGGTACCATCTGGTTATTTCATATACATATATATATATATATAACTATGGAAAATCCATTATAAATGGAGGTTTCTAGCTGGGAAAATCATCTGTAAATGGGTCATTTTCCATAGCTATGTTAGATAACCAGAGGGTAAATTGACAGAGGGTACAGGGGCGCAATATGGCGCAATCAGTCAACATGTGCCCATTGAGCTGGGCTGAACATAGATCGTGATGAGTATGGGTCACTCCAACCATGAATATGCAAGTACAGTAGATCAGCCATGAACAAATAGCCCTACCTCACCCCATACCATGACATATAATCGTTTGCAAATAGGCATCCGGTATCATCCGGTCAATTGTGTCTTGTAAATTACATGCAATAGCCAACATGAATCCCAAAGAAACCCATTAGTACAACTACTATGTTAAAATCATTCAAAAACAGTAGGGGCAAACATTTATTGATGACACAAATAACCTTCCCAGGAAAATGTAGGTTCTCCAGCCCGCCCAACAAATGTCGCGACTTGAGTGCTGGTGCGTCAGGTGATCATCATCTCCAATACTGAAGCACCTGGGGCACTGAGCGGCTGGCAATCTAGTTTCATGTCAAGAATGAAAAGGCCTCATCTAATCTCATCTATAAATTTTGTGGGGTGGTCAACATTCTGGATTCTGGACATACCCATTTTTAGTTGCGTGATGTACCACATGGCCCCAAAAGGGGAAACAAAAAAACATGCTGGACATGGCGATCCTTTGGTTCCAGGATCAGCTCTTGGTGTTTCAACCAGTTGGAAGGTCACAGCTTCGAAGTCACAGTTCTTGACCCAACCCCAGCCACAATGAGCTTCCCCACATGGGTGGCACCGTGCGGGGTGGCGTTGCACATGTGGAGGAGGTCGCTTTGCTGCTGGCCTTACTTCCCAGGATCTGGTACACCATCCCTGGTGATCATGGTGATGGCATATGTTCAGTTGATGCATTTTGATATGTGATGATATGACTATCATGTGGTTGGGAAACTCTTAACTTAGTAGCTCATTTGATAGGGAAAAATGGATACAATCACGGTTCCGTTCACTGCCTCCTATCACAATGAGATGGCTGGTTATATATCTCACCTGGTTGGTGGTTGAGCCCTACCCCTCTGAAAAATATGAGTTCGTCAGTTGGGAAGATGACATTCCCAATATATGGAAAGTCATAATCCATTCATGTTCCAGTCACCACCAACCAGTCACAGCCCCCTACAATCCCATTCTACCCGCTGTTTTGGGCATCAAGTGGAACCAAACTCCTCTGCTGGGGCGATCCAGACCGAGGTCTGCCGATCCAAAGATGGTGCTAACAGTGCCTGTGATCATCCCGGCGTGGATAGGATGTCAATGGCCATTTTTAGGAACCGATGGATTGGAGGTAGCGATTCCATATCTGGTTGGTGGTGTTTATTTAACCATCTTGAAAAATGATGGAGTTCGTCAATGGGAAGGATTATCTCATATATTTTGGAAAATGAAACATGTTCCAAACCACCAACCAGATATATAAGGCCTATTTTCTACGCCTATGTGAGGGGATATACCCCCAAAATATGGCCAGAAATATGGTACTAACGTACCTCCATTTTAGGATCCTGGAATTCCCATTGACCTGAAGAATATCTCAGCATGATTAGGAAGTTTCCTCAGTGAAATCGCCATAGGATGTATTGCCTTGTTGGTGACTTCCAATGCAACCTACCGCCCAGTTGAGAACTGGGGCCATCCACTTCCCCTGCAAGTCCGTTTTGAACCTGGCTTAGCCGATATACTTCCTTTCATTCCATTTTTCCCCCTTTTATGGCAAAACATGGTTGAAAAATGTTGACAGCAAGTGACCTATGAAAATACCAGACCTATATTTACCTAGAAATGATGTGGATCCGGGCTCTCTCTCAAACAGCTGCGGCCTGACTCCGCCACGACTCCCCACGCCCATCGTTTTTTGTTCGGAAACTCATCCAACAAATCCAGCTTTTAGGGGGTGTTTGCTTTGATTCTTTTGGATCAAGTAATAAACAAATAAACTTCGATCTAATCTGAGAAAATCAAAAACATACTTTATTGTTTTGCTTTGATTTCATGTAATTAGTTGACACATGTTGAAATTAATTGGTTCAAGTAAGAAGTAGACAAACACAACCACACAACATCTTGAGGTTTTGCACAATCAATAAAGTCAGCAAAGGAAAACCAAGAGTCAGATCTTTGTCGGGGTTCCTTTTCCTTCCACGCTGATGTTAGCCAGATTAATGAAGCTATGGCCATGCCCTCAACTCTTGACCATGGCACGCATCTGGGGTGCACAACGATGAGCATCTCACACGGTAAACATTGGAGGCATAAGGTCCTAACATTATCATACTTGTTTGATTCTGAAATCTTTTTCTGGGGGGAAGTAAGTCTCTCTAACAAATAGAGTGCCCGGCACTTTGGCATTTCAAAACAAACAAGAGAAAAATATAGAGATTCATGGTGGGTTTCACCAATCTCCAAGTCCCGGTAGGACTGGAATCTCGTAACACACGGCTTTCACGTCGCATTCCACTGCGCCCCACTAAGGATTACACTGGGTACATGTCTGGCCGGGGACGTCCATTCTGATTTGTCTCAAGCTGTTTAGATAAATATGTTAGTATACTTATCTATATCTCAGATATGATATGTTACTAAATCTATATTACTATATGGTGATCTTAATATCAAGAAAGTAACGTCTATGGTCTGTCTAGTGGCTGAAGGCTATGCGGCTATATCTAGATGTGTGGACTGGCCACTCGCAACGAGCACCAGAACTATAGATGTGTTAAAATGGGAAAATCATCTATAAATCTGGGCAAATTACACTAATTCACTGATCTGAAATAAGGTTTTTTTGGGATAGAACAAATCATTACAGAGAGGTCAAAAACGTGAGGTCGCGACATTGTTTGCCCAGATTTTTTTGGCGGATTGCCCTGGGTTGTGGGGTCATACCTCCATATTTATGGAAGATCTTCCCATTGAAGCTCCATTTTTTTGGGGGGAGTTTCCAGCAAACCATGTTTGATTCCTGCTACGGGGGTGTTTTTTTAGGTCCCTATGGGTTAGTAACCAGCCATCATCCCCCCAAACAAGGTGGTACGAACTGATAATCATCACGAATAAACCTCAAGCAGGGATGGTCTCGCCAGAATTGTCCTACTATCCCACATTTCTCCCACTATTATCCCACTACTGTCCCGTAAGACCCCTATTCTCCACTATTCTCCCACTATTGTCCCGTAAGACCCTTATCATTGGTAAACCTCAGTTGGACAATGGTGACATCTCCGGGCGTCGGCAAACACCTATGCTTGTGCCTCTGGAAAATGCCCTTTTAAGCGTTTGGAGGCAGGTAGGCCAGCCGTGGGCAAAATCATATGCAGTAATTTTTGTATCACTGTGTTGGGACTTTTACCAAGTTTCATGGGTACTTCCAGGGTCTAAGTCTAAGTAGTAATGACTAAACAGATGCCAATCAATATATATATATACTGTATTATAATATTATATGTCAACAACAGTTCAATATTCTCCATATTCTCCAGTACAGCGCGCAAGAACCCATGGAAAAAAGTCACTACCAGGTTTTCCAGGTATGGCAATCATCTATAGGGCATAAGAACACATGGAAAACGGAAAGCGTCAACGATGGGTTGTGAACATCATCACAAGACACACATATTCTGAGCACTCCCGGGCTGGTAGGACGACACATCACCAGCTAAATGGATGTCATTTCTTTGCCGAGTACTTCACACTCACCTGTGGGAATATCATGTTCAAAAATTATGAAACTATATATATATATATATATGAAAAGTGGTTTGGTTGTGGACACTGCCATTGTATCCATTGTTGGGTGCTATCTCTTATATAGTTGTCATGTTCACTGGCCCACCAAAACAGGGCAAGCAATTCACCCTTCATCGCAGCCCCCAAACATGTGAATAGATCCAACCAGGATGTTTGGGGGCGGAGATTCAATATGACCAATTTTGAAGGGGAAAGAACGGATAGTAGCCTCGGTGCAAAAATTTTGAAGGGCAAGCTTGAGAAAACACGAATTCCTGGCTCCTTGGCTGGCCATTTTTTGGGATGCGACAGCGTGGCACGGCTCCCTTCACAGCTCCCTTCAATCCATGGCGTCCAACCAGTGCACCTCAGTCCGGAAAATCCATTGCAAATATTTGGGTTTGAAATGAACATGGGGAATTAACCCCCCAGTGATTCTGGCCAGCGTCCATTCTCAAACACTTGAAATAAGTGGACAAGTGAACAAACACACTTTGACTCTGTCCGATGTATTCTATACATGATCTAATGTGGCACCAGCCCTTTCAAACAATGGATGTTAAATGTATCATACTCTAACCATGTCATGCCCTGAAAACACCACACTGTGGGATCAATGACGAAGCCTTGAAACCGGAGCCTGCAGGGTGAGGATTTTTTTCCGGATGAAACTCCTTGAAATTTCACGTTGGTCTCTGTGCGACCTAAATCTATCTGTTACCTCCTTGCCTATGTGGGCCGCTGTTCAGGGTTTCATGCATCTCTTATGTATAAATATATGTATATATGTATGTATGTATGTATGTATGTATGTATGTATGTATGTATGTATGTATGTATGTATGTATGTATGTATGTATGTAGGTATGTAGGTATGTAGGTATGTAGGTAGGTATGTAGGTAGGTAGGTATGTATGTATGTCTGTATGTCTGTATGTCTGTATGTCTGTATGTCTGTATGTCTGTATGTCTGTATATCTGTATGTCTGTATGGATGGATGGATGGATGGATGGATGGATGCATGTATGCATGTATGCATGTATGCATGTATGTATGCGTGTACGTATGCATGTATGTACGCATGTATGTATGTATGTATGTCTGTATGTCTGTATGTCTGTATGTCTGTATGTCTGTATGTCTGTATGTCTGTGTTCAACAAATAGATACCATGTACATCAATTCATGAAACCCTGAGCTATACAGGAGGGGTGAAACTATGCACATGTCACATGACGTTGGCAGATGTTTCAGGCTTGCCTCTCACATCACATGTAGATGTTCTGCTCGAAGCCCTTCTTGCCCTTGCCCTTTGCATTGGCCTTTCCATAGCCCTTGTCCCAACCACCCTTAGCCTGGAAATCCTTGCCTCCCTTCTTGCCGTTACCCTTGGGGCTACCCTTGCCGTAGCCCTTGTCCCAATCCCCCTTGGCCTGGAAATCCTTGCCTCCCTTCTTGCCTTTTCCTTTGGCCTTTCCTTTGCCATTGCCCTTCTCCCGTTCACCCTTGCCGCCACTGACATCCAGGTTGAACTGAGCTTCTGGCATCATATGCTGGTGCTCTGCGTCATTCGCACCTTTGCCATGGCCATTGCCACCTTTCTTGCCCTTTCCTTTGGCATTTCCTTTGCCATGGCCCTTGTTTCGATAGCCTTTGCCACCCTTGACATCCGTGAAATCCTTGTGACCTGCATTGTTGGCTCCTTTGCCGTCGCTGCCCTTCTTGCCCTTTCCCTTGGCCCTGCCTTTGCCGTAGCCCTTCTCCCATGCACCCTTGCCACCGGGGACATCCACGTTGAACTGAGCTTCTGGCATCACCTGCTGGTGCTCTGGGCCGTTGGCACCTTTGCCATGGCCATTGCTATCCTTCTTGCCTTTTCCTTTGGCCTTTCCCTTGCCATAACCCTTCTCCCAGTTGCCTTTGGCAGCGGAATCCTTACCGCCCTTCTTGCCCTTGCCTTTGGCCCTTCCCTTTCCGCCGCCTTTCTCCTTTTCGCCCTTGCCACCCTGGACATCTAGGTTGAGCTGAGCTTCTGCCGCAACTGCGTCGTTGGCAACGTTGCCAGTGGCGTTGCTGCCTTTTCCCTTTCCGCCGCCTTTCTCCTTTTCGCCCTTGCCACCCTTGACATCTAGGTTGAGCTGAGCTTCTGCCGCAACTGCGTCGTTGGCAACGTTGCCAGTGGCGTTGCTGCCTTTTCCCTTTCCGCCGCCTTTCTCCTTTTCGCCCTTGCCACCCTTGACATCTAGGTTGAGCTGAGCTTCTGCCGCAACTGCGTCGTTGGCAACGTTGCCAGTGGCGTTGCTGCCTTTTCCCTTTCCGTCGCCTTTCTCCTGTTCACCCTTGCCACCCTTGCCACCCTTGACATCCTGGTTGATTGGGGCGTCTCGGATCAAACGCGGGGGATCGTAGCTCATGAAACCGCCTTTGCCTGGCATCTTCTTAGGCTTGGGCTTGGGCACGGGCTCTGGTGCCACAGCCACCGAGGCGGCCAGTGCCTCTTGCAGATCTGTCCGCACGTCTCCACTTCCACTAGCCTTCTCTTCCACCGTGGCGCCAAAGGTGTCCTGCCATAATTTCTGGGGCCCTCAATGCTACAGATTATGGTTCCAACACGATCACCTAGTAGTGGTATGGGAAACTCATGGGAATGAGGAGGTCTCTCAGTGTTGGCCTTCAGAACAGATTCACAGGTCTTATTTGCAAGTCTCTGAGTTGTGAGGAAAGCACATTTATATTGAATGGGAAGCATGTGTTTTTGACCATCAATCAATCCTGAAATTATCCCAGTCACCATCATTGAGGTACAGCAGAAGTTATATATATATATATGTGATTTATGTGTGTATATATATATATGTATAGATATACATATATGATATTGCATCCCGTTAGTGGCATCGACCCCACCACCGCCATACGTAAGTCACGAATGGCTCCTCGACACGAACGCACTCCGAATGGCCGTTGAGATTCACCACCCAGAAGCCGTCGAAGGCTGACAGATACACCAGCCTTGGGCCATAGCGTTTGTTCATCTCGTTGTTCTTTACTGGTTGGGAAATCCACTTTGGACATGTGGGAAATCCATAATCCACGAGTTGTAGATGGTTTTCCTAAGGAAACCTGGGTTTTCCACATCTATATGTTCTTGTTGGTGGTATACCTACCCCTCTGAAAAAATATAAAAGGACAAAATTGGGATGATTCTTCCCTAAACAGATACTAAACAAATGATTACCCTCTGGTGAACGTTTACATAGCTATTGATAATGGCCATAGAACTAGTGGATTTACCCATTGAACATGGTGGATTTTCCATAGTTATGTTAGTTTACCAGGGGGTAAGCTGGTTTATCGAATACCAGGGACAAACTTGGACTCAAATGCCTGTTGATGGTTCATGACTTTTATTAATTGGACATCCCATATGTTGGACAAACATGGACAAACATGTTTGAAGTATCAAGTAGTAGCCATCCAAGGTTTGCCCAGAGGTTTAAAACATCAACATCTCCAACGGGGACATGATCTCCAAATGGGGCAACAGTGAAGGGCAAGTTTTCGATCACCAAGAGGCGTATCAAATGTTGATCCTCAAAGAAAACACATCGTTAAAACAATGGAGGTCACCACCGGCTACCACCTGACCTTTTTTTCAGTCAACCTGATGATAAACGGATAGGGAACATCTATGAACATCTCATCGGGTCCTATCCCCCATCGCCCTTAGATTGGTGTAAATGAGGTGGGATGAAATCAGAATCATATATAACTGCTACCCCTACAACTATGCTTGTATCTCCACTTATTAGTGGAAATGCACCGCTACTTCTGAAGGTCGCCCATATATATATATGTATATATATATATACATATATATGTATACATATATATACATATATATATACATATAATAAACATATAATATACATATAATATACATATATATATATATACACATACCCTCCGGTAAGCTAACATAGCTATTGAAAATTGCCATTTATAGTGGATTTACCCATAAAACATGGTGATTTTCCATAGTTATGTTAGTTTACCAGGGGCTATATATACATAATTATACACATATTCCATTCTATTCTTATATTTTGAGGATCTGTTCCCACCACTCCGAATACACGTGTTTTTCACAAACTCCGCTGCCGGGTGACTCGCCCATGATGAAAATGTCGCCCACCGTCATGGAGCAATGAGTGACCCGCTTATATCCCCACTCGCATTTTCCGCCTGAGATCGATGGGCCCAACTCGGGAAACTGATGATGGCCATATAGACTATAGATATATCACCTATAAACATCATGATATAAACATCTATAAACAAAAACAGGAAACTCGGGGAATCATGTTGTTCACCGATCCGACTTCGTGCACTGATTCTCTTCCAAGTGAGTTGAAGGACCGTAAGCTCAACAAAAAAAAACTCCAGTAGTCAAACATGGTAATGTAAAATCAAAAGAAACCCCACCATATATATATATATATATACATATATATATATATATACACATTATATACAATATCGATTTACACATGATTTTCCCATTTGACCCATTCACATGGGAAAGCATAGCATCAATTTCAATAACTCACTGAAGTCGTGTACATGGATGAGAGGGAGAGACCCAATCCCCATGTCTGCTAGTTCAATCCTGAATGTTGTTGATTAAATATACATAGTGCTAATGGTAAATCATGTTAAATCATCCCAATGTTGAATTATCGGTGTGAAAATCAATATCTGTGCCAGTAAAATCGCAACGTCTGCTCCAATAGTTCCTTGTAATTCCGCAATGTTTCGCCAGTACAAACCCAAATTCACGTCTGATCATCTGCAATTCTCATTTGCTTGGGAAACTCAATTTGTAGCTCCAACTGGCCCCCCATGCAATATAGGAAGTATGGAATCTAAATTCCCCTTTCTGCAGTAAAACTTGTGTCCAGCCTCCTCCATACTGCTGCTCAGCAAAGATCTGACAGGAGAGGGTTTTTGGGGGACTAAAAACCTACATCTTTGGACGTTGAAAGACCAGGTGGGAAACTGGGAAAGTTACAAATATTGGGACCTCGAAACCTCAGTTGGGAGACAATAAGGATATTATGCAAACATATGTATATATATATATATATGTATGTATGTATGTATGTATACACATATTTTCGGTAGGATGTAAAACTTACAGTTTTATGTATACTGTATATGCCATTAAGAAAAAATGCCTGATATTGTCATAATATCCTTATTTTTTGCCCCTATGATTTGGGTTTGTCAGAGAAAACATATGCCCCCAAATGTCAGTTTGGATCAGGATGATGACAATACACCATCAGAATTGCCTTACATGCTTGCACCCCTGTTTTCAAACAAACTCATAAGATTTGGAACTTTTTGAAGGTTTATCCAAACTGTCAACTGTCTAAATGGTCAAATGAGATGTTTTGAAATGGGTTGTCTAAAGATTAACCTTTGATACATAGACTTATCCCGATGACTGTCCGCATTCTCCATGATCTCTGTGATTTTTTTCCAGTAAAACCTGTACTTAGTTTGGGCATTTCCCAACCAGCCCTGTTTGATTCCGACATTCTCTGGGGCCACGAGTATGGGTGAAAACAAAGCTGATCAACACCCAATGCTAGTGAAAGTGATTACGATGGCTAGCTTCCCACTAATCCCTTCCAAAAAAAACAGATGTTCCCCGAACTATGCCCGAACAGAAAGCCTGGTTTTTATAGGATCAGTATATGGATCAGTTAACATTTGTGGCTGACTATGTGGCTCAACTGATCCCACTCTGGCTGGTCATTGGGATGCCCTTGTGACCTGGGATACCCTCTGGGTATGACATTCACAGTTCGCCATGGAAAGATCCACCCATTTTTCTCAGTTCGGTAAACCATCGAACTTTCTATGGGCCAGCTATCCCATGGCGAACTGGTAGCCATGACCAGAGGGTACCTCTAACATCAAATGGTGAGGGCTGAGAAATTGAGTTATGGGTCTTAAATCTTGACTCATACTCATGTGATCTCACGTGGAGGTTTCCGAAAAATGGGGGATCCCCAAGTCACCATAGGCTTCAATGCTAAAACGGTCTAATGACTTGGATGATTTGGGTACCCTAATGACTTAGGAATCATAGGAAACCCCCATCATAGTTTTCCCCATGATTCTGGGTAGATTACAATTCAAATATTTCACTCACCTGAATTTTCTGGATAATTGCTTGGACCATTAATTTGGGGATGATTTCCCATCTAAAAACTATTAAACAGTTCCAGGTAACTCGAGAGAACAGGCCTCAGCCCCAGGTCCCCCGGGTCCCCCCGAGGTGCCCCAGGTCCACCTGCTGCAACCACTTGAGGCGCTCAGGGCCGTGTTTGAAGGGACAATCGAGGCTGCGCACCTCCGCATGGGTGGCGTTCACGCCGCGGTCGTTCTTCTTGACGTAGCTAATCCTGAAACATGCGGCGAAACGTGTGGGAAAAAATAGAGTTGTTCCCTTAAGTTAAGTTATAGAGGTTGGTAAAAACCATGTCAACCCGACACAAATAAATAGTGATAAATTATATAATTATTGTTGCAGCCTTCTGAAGGACAACTGGGAAAATCGCAGGCCCGAAACATGCTGATTTGAGTATGGAACAAGAGACTTAACCCATAGATTTCTGTGGATTTTAGCACTACTAGCTTGCTATGGTCCTATGGTCAGTGGCTGCGAGAGCCGAAGGATAAGTTATCCCCATCATGTTTCATCATGTTTGAATATTGTGTTTATATGAGGATCTTTCTTTGAAAAGGGGCATTTCCAAACAAATCTCATCTGGAACTACCGCAACGGTCAAATCGCCAATGAAAATCAAGGAATGGCACTGGCACAACATTACACACTGGAGGATTCCAACATGCTGACGTCTGGATTGCGCACTTCAGAGTTTCTGAACGAGCTACGCACAGTCGTGGTCGTGGGTCAAAAAAATGTACTACTGTAGTTCACCATACTGAGAGGATCTGAGAGGAGCCAAGGATTCCATCTTCAGCCATAAACTCAAATAATTTGGCCCTGCAGAGACCCACACGGCCCTTTTTTGTGCACCAAGATTCCATGAAGAAATGGCGGAAGGGCTCTTGATCCACAAAGGGAGGAACCTCTCCTGGAACCTCGTTGAATGGGTCAAGGGGCAGTAACTGGAAGATGACCCCTTAAAAATTCATGAGCATTTGGATAACATTCGATGTTCATTGATAGTCGTTAGACCATCATGGCTATTTTATACCCCGGTTGCACGAAACTGCATCCCACATATCATCTGGTTGGTGGTTTTAACCATCTTGAAAAATATGCGTTCCTCAATTGGGATTATGACATTCCCAGATATATTATGGAAAATAAAATTCATGTTCCAAACCACCAACCAGTCATCTAAGTAGAGGATTTGAAAGATGAAACTTCATCCAGGATTGACCCTTTTGACTTTCAACTGGACGTGACTCTTTGCTGCGAAGATCTACCAAAATGTCGGCACTCTTCTCAGCATCACAAGTGAGAACCCAGATCACTGGACCTAATATCTGAATATCTGACCATATTTGTTATAAAAAAATACAGATAATGTTAGATGTCATCGGCACTCTTATCAAATCTAGAGCCCCGCCATGAACTCCAAACGTCCCTTTCTGTTCCTTGCGATAGAATTTTGGATACAGAATATAGTTTATACATGTACCCATATCAATATCCACTTGATGTTGCCATCATTTTTTTGATAAAGGTAACGAAATATATAATATATATATATATTACAAATAAATAATTATGTTATATATTATATATTATATATTAAATATTAGACTTATATATATTATATATTATATATAAAATATTTTATATTATATATTATATATTACATATTATGTATTCTATATATTAATTATATATACTATATATATTATATCATATAATTATATGTATTCTATATATTATATATACTATATATATATTATATCATATAATTAAATATGGTACATATATTATATATAAAAAAATATGTATTATATATATCAAATATGTTATATATATAATATATATATATATTATATATATATTATATATATATTATATATATTATATATATTATATATATTATATATATTATATATATTATATATATATTATATAAACTATATATATATATTATATGTATTATATAAATCAAATATATTAAATATATTATATATATTATATATATATTATATATATATTATATATATTATATATATTACATATATTACATATATTACATATATTACATATATTATATATATTATATATATTATATATATTATATATATTATATATATTATATATATTATATATATTATATATATTATATTATATATATATATATTATATGTTATATATTATCGTATATATATTATATATTATATGTTTTATATGTATTAATATTATATATTTCATATTTATTATATATTACATATGAGATATGATATATTATTATATATTATGTTTTATTTTATTATAATATATTATTATTATTATTAGATGGATGGATGGATGGATGGATGGATGGATAGATAGATAGATAGATAGATCTGTATATATATATATATCAACTAATAATCACCTCCCCCAAACCAGAAACACTCCCTAGAAACTTTAAGGAGACTTCGCCGACCACGGGACAATGGCATGGCATAGGCCACAATGGTAGCACCCTTCTCGTGCTTTCCAACGGTGGGAAAGCACAACTTGTCCTCAAAGGATTCGACCAAACCGTCCAATCCTTGGCCATCCGGGGATCAATGGGGAATTGGTTGGTTAATAACTGGTTGGTTAACTGGTTGGTTAACATACCTGGTTAATAATGGTTAATATATGGTTAATGATGGTTAATAAAATCTGGTTGGTGGTTGAGCTACAGCCCTCTGAAAAAATATGAGTCAGTTGGGATGATTTTCCATTCCCAACTGACTGGAAAAATCATCCATTCATGTTCCAAACCAACCAGGGAATTTAGTGGGTATGGAGTATTGGATGAGGCCAGTGTTGAGTGGGATGATTCAGGGGGATCCTCTTATTGCGGGACAAGTCCAACACACGTTTCTCATGTCCTGAGACCAGATGCTTGGCCATTTCCCTGGGAAAAAGAACATTCGCGGGATCTCTTGCATATGGCCAACACTTCAACATGAGAAACAAAGGCTCAAAACTCGAATTCTCCGGATTTGTTGATATGGAGTCCTGCACAATGGGTGGTCTAACATGTCATCCCGTTTCAAAACATGCTCTGCTACATTCCAAAAAATCTAAACGCAGCATTTCCTTCCCCAAAACATTCTGCACATCTGGAAGCAACTTTGATCTGTTGATGGGTCCCTTCATGTTGGGGTCCTAAATAGACCGAACTAGATTGTTCGCTGAGCTTAGAACTTGGTGACTCAAACAATGAAACCCTAATGGACCAACTATATCAATATGACACCATGCATATGGTATATATATATATATAGATATGTATATTTATATTATACGTATATGAATATGTATGTCGGTATGTCTGAGTGTATGTGGGAGAATACACGTGCAGAAACGTACGGAATTCTGACACTACAATTTCCTACCATTTCACAATAATGTACACGGGAAAACATACGGGTACCAGGTGGTGTCCCCGATGTAGAACTCAGTTTCATAAACCCCATCATTAACTAAAGAAAATATCTACAATAAAGCAGGTTAGAAACCAACTTAGTAAGCCAGCTGGGCCGTTTGCTGGTACCCATACATGTTATCTCCATGCACATCCCTATATATGTTCTTGTTGTATATGTAGATATCAGCAATGGCTACCTGCTCCCCTGTTGCATCACAAGCTTCGCAAGTAGCACTTTCCGGACCAGCCGGCTTCCCTGTGAGTCGTGGATGTCATAGCGCATGGACGCATGGATGTCATGGGTGAGGCCCGTGTCAACCTATAGACTTTCTAAGTACCTACAAAAAATGGGTAGTACAATGTAACACAGCCATGATAGAAAATGGGTAATCTACTCACCATGGTAATATATATATAATATATATAATATAATAATATATATATATATTATATTATATATATATATACATATAGCCATTAGTTTTGGGACTTGAACCCATTTTCATGGGTACTCGGAGGGCGTAGGAACTCAGAAAACATATCAAACATGGCAGTGTTGGACCCTCAAAACCATAGCATAAGGTATTTTGTTTCCCCTTGGGTAATCCATGGTAATGCATAAGGCATCGTAATCCACAAAATCCTTTGCCCTTTGCGGCCAGTACTTGGTTTTTCTGAAGTTTATCTACTCATCTACTCGTTATAAACGACGGCGAATAACGATAGCATTCCATCCATCAACGTGCCATCCATTATCAAACCATTCTGATGGTTGTATAGCTATTGATCCATCCTCATCTATCGCTACGCCCAAGAAACACCCACTTCCCCAAACCAGCCTAAGCCGCTCCATTTGATACCTGGGCAGCTGATTGAAGTTTCACCAGGAAACTTGTTTTAATGGAGTTTTAGTTGATTTATGATGGCTAAGTTGGTTAGATATATTTCCATATATTTCCTATAAATCTATAATATACATTCATACTATATATATATTGTATATAGTAACTTGGATGAGCAAACGCTAGGTGATAAAAAAAGGGGTCACCCATTAAATGCTGGCCAAAAGCTTATTGATACAGGGTTGACGTGACCCGAAGAAGCCAGCTAAAGGATGTTCGCCAATGTGTTGGCATGTCTGCTTTTGACCCAGCCGTGCTTATGAAGTGTGGAAAAATCCTCAATTTAATGAGTTGTGTCTGCTTGATCCCTAATTAATTTCTAACGGGATGTGACAAACCCATCTAAGCCCGAAACAAGTAAACATCTTGGTGCACGTATTTTTTTCACGCAGTCATTATTACAACAAGATCACTTCTTCCAGATTTTGGTCGAGGAAAACAAATCACATGTATTCAACCACTGTCTCAACGGATTGATTTGGGGATGTTTGGGGAACATGTACAGGACACCATGTTCCATGGGAAAATCCATGGGAAAATTGGATGTTTTTGGTTCCCTCCAGAGTTTCCCTTTAACCCCTCCGTTCACGGCCAGGGTAAAAAGTATTACAATGAAAGGCTCAACACAAGAAACTTCAAGCAACAAAGCTATTGCATCTCTACATACGCACTGACCATTTCCTCCCTTCCTGCGGAAAGCAAGTCGTTTGACCTCTGCGGTCTCAGAACTTTCTACTGTGACCCCAAAGTTTCCCAAAGTTGGCCATGCGTTTGCGTTTATTGAACTGGATGTACCTGGTAGCATCTGGATCCCTCTGAAAAATATGACTTCGTCAGTTGGGATGATGACATTCCCAACTGAATGAGCGGTATACCTACCCCTCTGAAAAATATGAAAGTCAGTTGGGATGATTATTCCCAATATATGGAACAATAAAATTCATGTTCCAAACCATCACCCAGAACATTACTTAAATCTTGGATACATATCATTTCCGATGCTACTCTTTAGTGACGTGGCCTAGCAATGGGCAATGGAAAATCTCCCAGTGCATAGAAGAGTTATCTTGGAATTTCACTCGTTTACACCTGTTGCTCCTCCAACCCAGTAAGGAAACACTTCCGTTCTGAAAAGGCTTCAATCAACTTCAAACCCATTGAAGTTGCCCTGTATTTTTAGTCTCCCCGTTTCAGGTCAAACGGGAACAATTTTTGGACTCATCCCATTCGTTCATCATCATCATCATCATATATATATATATATTTATATTTATTTTTCAAAAATGTTGATTCACCTATTACTTCATGGATGTTCACCTTTTACAGTACCCTCTGGTAATTTCACATAACGAACTGGAAAGATCCACCATTTTTCATGGGAAAACTCACTATTTCTATGGCCAAGCTGCTGAGGAATGCGGCTGCGCCAGGAGCACTCGCCCTTCTTGGCCGCGTAGGCCAGCCTCGAGGCCATGTGATCAGTGATGGACGGTTGGCCAAAGAAAGCCTGGTGGAATTTTAGTATCACAATGGACATCTGGAACTTTGGAGAAGCTTAGAATCCGATTTATGATGATTGATGGATTTTAGAGATGATTTGTATGAAAATACCATGACAAACAATCCAAAGAAGCATGAACTACAGCAAATAATTGGGCCATTAAAGCTGCACTGGGCAGCACGAATCATCTTGACAGTCATTCCGGCCATAGAAGGGAGGCAATTGTCCAAACAACACGAAGCCTCGGCAATGAATCTGCCCTGTATTATCGGGATCTATTGAAAGGCCAAGACTTAAGGCGTGGTTGAGTCAGTTTGGTAAAGCTTCAACTGTTATCAACTCAAATGGTCTCCGTGAATTCAACGGCCTGTTTTTGTTAATCATCACTGGGAACATCACCCGGGTGGGGCTGGAAGGTATGGCGAGCTTAACGAGTTCGAAATCCATCTTGATCGGTACCTTTTCGTTTCATTAGTTGAAACCGTTTCTGGATTTTTGTGGAGGGATGCAAATTTTGTCAAGCCTTTGGTGGGATTCTGGTTCTCTCAAAATCCCGGTTACATCTGGCAATCATTCCCCGTGAAGCCAGCAACATGGTGAGTTGACAATTGCATCCACATATCCACATATATTTCGGGATGCGATTTCAATGGAAAATGCCAGGTGATTCTCATTCACAATATTTCACAATCCCATCCGCCTAACATGAAACACCCCATCAATGGTCCCTTAAAATAAGTGCGTAAATCGGCTACCCCATGGTTTCTGTAGAGAGATCCATGCCTTCAGGTACTCCGCTTAGCCACGCTTAGCCAAGTTTCTGGATGTGCCAGGAAGATGTGATTACGCGAGGATGTGTTTCCTCAAAGAGGGGCAGGATCGGCAGGATCTGCCAAGGATTGGCTCAAGGGGAACCCTTTACAAAAAGAATGGATTTATCCTCTGGTTATTTAACATAGCCATATATAGCCATTCAAAATGGCCCATTTATAGATGATGTTCCCAGCTAGAAACCTCCATTTATAAGGGATTTTCCATGGCTATGTTAAATATCCAGATGGTACCTACCAAATATTCTTGTTTTTTCTGCAAATGTTCCATTAAACCCATTCTGTGAGAGGAGGAATTGGGTGTCTATGTCTTAATTTCCTAGAGAGTGCATCATATACTGCAATGATTTTTCTTTTTGTTGGGTTTGTCTGAAAATGGGGTACCTCAAAAATCCAAAGGTTGAACATGCCCTTAATCAAAATTGCCATTTGGTGGCAAACAATTTGAAATCATCCCGAATCATGTTGTATATATATATATATGTATATATATATATATTGCTGTACATATCACATATCCCATAAAATATCCCATTGCAAACTATGTGATCGTTGTTCTTTCTGTACTACATTAATTACTCATCATTAATCTCTAAAAGGTGCCCCCTGGTTAAACGCTGGTTGCTTCACAGCCCAGCCCATTCATCTATTCCTCATAATAAATATATATATATATAGAGAGAGAGAGAGAGTATATTAATTATATATATATATATGCTATTTTTCTATTAACATATTAATCTAGTTATGTATATATTATCAATTAATGATTAAAACTAGTTGGTTAAATCCATCCACATTCAAC